GGAAGACAGACTGTATTTTTTCCTTAGAATGACTGTGAAGAAGCCAGTCTTAACATGGAATCACTAGTGTAGGAATCTGCAACAGGAATATTATTTCACCTTGGGATGCCACAAGTTACCATTATGAACTCATGGAGTTCCACAAGGTTTTTCATCTCTTTTGGTACTAGCAAGTAATCATATGTGTTCTGCTCTGTAAAGTATGTGGAGCAATGCCTAAACTGGAAAAGCCTGAAACTTATACTACATTTACAACAAGTGCTGAGGCTTACAGCTTTTTCTGATGAGTCTAAGCCCAATCTAGAAGGAAGTTGATGAACTCAAGTTGAAAACTGATGAAACTAAGGGGTTTTGCCCTCAGATTCTGGGCCAAATTTAGAAGTGATAGGTTGTAGGTGGGTTTAGAAGTTCTAGGTTATACCTAAAATATTAACATAGTTTACTCTAAAATTGGGACTGTTCTGTCTGCTTTGGGGAAATTTGCATTGATGTCTTCAACATAGACCTGATGCAACAATGCAAAGCGTGTTCAGTTTGTTTCAGTAAACTGCCATGGGATATGTAATATGGAGCTGTTTTATGACATCTCAGAGTGACACTAAGTATATTTAGCTATGTGTCATTAGCCTAAAATATGACATAATTTTCAGTTGAAATACTGGTATGTTAAGGGCTTAATTTACTGGTTACTTTTCCTTCTGTTTCTCAGAGGTAAAGGAAGAATCCCAGCTTTGTGATGTTTAGATTACCATATGTTAGTTTTTGTTTTAATATCCTTATAGCAACCAGATCTTTTCTTCACATAGAAGAAATACGTGCAGATTTTGGATGTCCCAAAACCAAGCCAATAGTGGAAGTCTACCTGTCATGTTTTTATTGCAGAAGACAGTTGTGACTGTCCTGCTGTGTTTTTACCACTCTCTAGGGTCATGCTCTTGAACAAGCTATCATTAGTCAAAAGCCTCAGCTGGAGAAGTTGATTGCCACTACAGCCCATGAGAAGATGCCGTGGTTCCACGGGAGGATCTCTCGGGAAGAGTCAGAACACCGTATCCTCATTGGGTCAAGAAACAATGGAAAATTTCTGTGAGTGCTTTTTTCTGTGTTACTTACACAGTTCCCTTGAATGAATCTCAAATGAGAGTATGCCCTAAAAGGTGGCTCATTCACAGTGAGAGAGCCCAGTTCAGCATGATATACATGACGTAATCATTCCTGTACTAAGCAAGTGTCTCCAAGACTATGTTGCCGCTTAAATAAAGGTGGGAAACGATAGCAAAAGTGTGGGTCATTGTTTTTTAATCAAATACTAGGTTTAATTCTAAAGGGAGTATCAGAGAAACTCAATACCAAGAAAAATTCATTTAACTTTGTTTTATAGCTGATAAGCCATACTAAGTGACTATGGTAGGTTAAGCTTGGCCCACCAAGGTGCTGTCACACGTACCCTCCTCAACAGAACAGGGGGAGAAAACAGGATGGAAAAGCTCGTGGGTCAAGATGAAGACAGGGAGATCATGTACCACTAACTCTCACTGGCAAAACAGACTTCACCTGGGGAAACGTAATTTAATTTATTGTCAATTAAAATTCAGTCGGACAGTAAGAAACAAAGACAGAAACATAAAGCCCCACCTTCCCCTCACACACCCACACCCCCAGTTTTCAGAGGCTGAACTTCACTCCCTCACAGCCAGCTCCTCTCCCACCAAGCAGCGCGGGGGAGGATGGGCAAGGGATGGGGGCCGCAGTCAGTCTGTGACAGCTTCTCTCTGCCGCTCCTTCCTCCTCACGCTGTTCCCTGCTGCAGTGTGGGCTCTCCACAGGAAGTATCCTTCAGGAAATACCCACCTGCTTGGAGGGCTGCAGTGTGGACACCAGCTCCACCATGGCCTCTCCCATGGGCTGCAGGGGACTCTCCGCTCCAGCGCCTGGAGCACCTCCTCCCCACCTCCTCCTCCGGCCTTGCTGTTTGCGCTGCTGCTTCTGGTTTGCGTTTGTTTTCTTCTCTCCGCCGCAGAGGTGCCGCATAGGTGGCTGAGGGGCTTGGGGGTGCCCTGCAGGGGTGTCCTCTGGGTCCAGCTGGAACCAGTCGTGACCGGCCCAGGGCAGCCCCCAGCCCCCTCACAGAGCCCCTGCAGCCCCGCTGCCGAGGCCTGGCCACCTGCACCCAGTACGCTGACTTACCAAAGTGGTAAAAATACGGACAAACTGCCTGTGTTAACAACTGTTGGGATCCATGACTGCCAGCTTTCCCGGGGGCAGTGGTGGTGCTTTCTTCTGCAGTTCAGCAACAGAAGGAATTACTTTTACCTTGGTAACGCCATTTTGTCCGCTGCTGTCTGCGTTTACTTGACCTCACGATCTTTTCTTTTCTGAGTGCAAATGTGTCATTTAGGATAGTGACTAGCAGCCGTCATCTTGTGAGGATTAGAGCCAGTCAAAATCTTCTAACAAAAATGTTTTTCTTTTGGAAAATCCTCAGTTGAAAAAAATCAATGTTTTCACTGAGCTGTTTTTTGCGTGCCCCTGCCCTCCAAATGGAAGTATTTATATAATGATGGAAAATGAAGCTTAAAGGTCATGGCCAAGGAAGGATCACTCAGAGCTGTATAATTCCTGAGAGAAATTTCATCGCCTGCCTATGCAGTCTCCTTCAGCACTCAACTATCTTCGATTTTTTTAAAGCTAGTCCAGAGTAAAACTGCAGGAGTGAGTGCAGGATGGATATGCTTCTTCAGTACCAACTCTCTCGCTTTACTGATTTGCCATAACTGTGCCACACTAATTGCTAATGTAGATGCAACCTTCGTATGTTTCCGTGTTTCAATCTTAACTGTCAGGAACTGGTAACTCCTCTAAATCATTTTTTCTGGTAGAGTTTATTCCTATCTTAGGTCTTACCTATGAATACTTTGAGTGTACTGACACCTCATTTCTTGAAATATCTTTCCTTCCCTCAGTAACAAAAATTGTTACAAAAGTTTGCGGAGCCGAAGATTCCCCTTATCACAGATTCATCTTTTCTGAATGCTTCTTTCTATAGCGCAGGAGAAGTGTCATCAATTTGATGAATGTAGTCACTGTCATAGATTGCCAACACAGCATTACCATACCACCTCTCCTTTTCATTGCTCTGTGACTTTGCTAGTTTCTTTTCGTACTTTTTAGACATAGGAGCACGTGGGTATGTGAGCTGCAGCAAAGCTTAATGACCTTTTTTTTCTGAAAAATTATTACTTTCTATATTAACATCTTACGAAATCAATGTTATATCAGCTGAGTCATTATGTTGATCGTATATTAAAACTTGCAGCTTTTCCCGTTTACCTCTTGCGCACTTCGGTTTCTATGTGGTCAAAGTGCTTCTCTTTGGGGAAAAAAAGGGAAGCTAATTTTTCTTCAAAGAGATGGATCCCTTAGCTAACATTGCTCAACAACAGGGATGGGCTTTGGAGTAAAGGAGTGTAATTTTTTAGCAGACTTGACATTTTCAGTCTCTCTTGTAGACCTGGTCTCTTCTTAATCTTCTATAAGCATTCCTACAGCTTTAAATAGAAATACTTCCCCCGCATTTTCCTGTTTCCCTTAGAGATGGCCTAGGAGGTATTTCTGGTGCTGTTTGCAGTGACATGCTCGATGAGCTGTGGAGGGAACAGTCAGACCTTCTCCTGTGGGACTAGTTATGTCAGTGGGTGCGTATCTTATAGTTCTGCTTGAACTCAGGTGGCTGTTTTCACATCAGGTAGATGAAACCATGGAGGGGAAAATGCTAACTTTCAGGCTCTGTTTAAACTATGAGAAGTGCCACTGGAGAAGTGCTACTGGACCTTAAATAATATGAAAATGTAACTGAGAAAGCGGTTATTTTTCCTTCCAGAGCTCTTCTAGCTCTCAGATCAGTAGACCTAGAGGCTCATAGCAAATAACAAAAGAAGTGTCTAATTTCGAGAGGTTTTCGGTTTTCTGCAGTGGTTTGCCTAACATGGGCTTGCTCAGCAGGTGTTGAGAAATAAACCACTCATTTGTTAGCTAACTGAAAACAGTAGCAGCAAAATTGTTGAGTGCTAGAGAGGTGCATTGTTTTACATTTCAGGCACAGGCATCGCATACTTTTTCCTTACCCAGCAGCAGTGCATGTCAGAATCTTCTGTACATCTGTGGACTGTAGGCTGTGAATTTGTGCTTGTGAATGTAGCTGCTCAGGGACTGTTTTTCTCACATTGGTCAAGGCACTCAAGCCTGGTAGCTGACTGAAAGGTAAAACTTAGAAACATTCAATGTCTAAGAGAAGTTCGCTTGTTGAGGTAGGAATTGGAGCCTGGGAACATAGAGAGAAGCTAGATTTTCAGTGAGATGAGGTACTCTGAGGCTATTCAACAAGCCCACAAGCAGGTGCTGGTATATGACAAAAATCATCTTGTTTATTACGGAAAAGGTAATAAATTTTAGAAGGCTAGAATATTTCTGTATATTCTTTTACAAGGGTCTCTAAAACTTCATTACACCAGAAATCTGCTAACTGTCTGACCTACCTACCTTGAAACAAAATCCAGTACAGCAGTCTCTGTGAGAAGACATCTAACGTATAGATTTCTTTAGCGCTGCTTTGCAGCACTACAAGATTATCAAATCTAGAATTTTTCTTATATAATAAATATGGAAATAGTTGAAAAGCTTCCTGATTGCAGTTCAAAATGTCGTGAATAGCATCATAAATCTAACACTGCGACTCATCCAGCTGCTGGAAAAGATCTGAGCTAACTGTCTGTGTTTTACTAGCGAATTTTAAAAGGTCTTTTTAAAGTTTTTGTCATGACTGGAAAGTCAGTGAAATAAGTATGTATGTGGGTGCTATAGAGTTCATATTCAAAGCCAAATATAGAAACAAAGTCATGAAACAATGTGAAATAGGAAGCAGTACACACCTCTTCTGAGAAGAACACTCATGAGATATTGCCCCTCTAGCCACAAAATTTGGAGAAAAAACTATAGCAGTGGAATAGAAGGAAAATATGATATCTCTAAAATGACCTGAAAAGCAACTGAAAATAGAGAACTTTATTTAAGTCTCAAGCCCCTGTTAGCTTCATTAACACTCCTTTGCATGCTGTGTAGGATGCTGGTTCTTACCAGACATGTTTTTTCATTAGCCTTTGCCTGGTAGGGGGCATAATTGCAGAATACAATGATCAATATTGTTGAGGTGATCATAATAATATTATTAATACTGCTATTAATATTGTAATAATATATTAATAATATA